TATGTGTTATGTATTCTGTATGGAACGATGAAAAGATTTGTGACGAACGGGAACTGCTGTAGATTTGTTACCAGAAAGTTTGGAGATTTTTTTTCTATAAAAAGGAGGATTGGTAGTGAGAGATTGGTAAGATATTAATAGCGAAAGCGGATAAGAGTACGCGGCGATACCGTTAAATGAAAGTTTAATCTAATTAACGAAGTTTCGTTAGAGGGATAAGTAGTTGAATCGATTCCACTCTGGCTCTATTGGTTTCCAATTTTCGTTAGCGCGACGAAATCGGCGGCCGACGCCGCGTATTGAAACGATAAATTCCCGGACAAAGACTGTGCAAAATTTCTATACCATATTGTCCCTCTGTGGCACGCACAACGCTTCCGCTTTGCAATTTGATTAATGCCGTTTACCCTTATTCAGTCTCGCCCCCTTTCATCCACCCCTGCAATTTGTAATATTTTACAAGCGAAACTTAAACGGACATCTTTTACAAGTGAATCAATTCTTTTTTCATCGGAAAAAGGCGGTGATACTTATGGTTTTTGTAATAGATTATAGTGTTTTAATCGTGATCTCCTTTTTTTATAACCTCTTCCTTCTATCTCAGGCAGTTGTAAGTTTGATTGCTTGAATAACGAATCTTGTCAGTTGGGAAAAAAATAATGTTGAAATAAAGAGGAAGAAAAAAAAATATTTTTTGTGAAATTGCTTTTCTTTGAACCTTTCCTTGAGTTTTAGATCATAAGTTTGTCCTTAAGAAAAGAAATCGTAGTAGTTATTATTTGCGTTTTTAAATTATAACTTCTGTAATAGATTACAAAAACCGTAAGTATTATCGCCATTTTCCGCTTTATATGACCTTCAATGTCCTTGTGTTATAGGTCGTTGAATTCGTTTTAAGATTCTCTATCATGATACGGAAGCAAAAATATACCGATCCGTTTAAAAAAATGTCGGTGACCTTCAAATGTCCGAAGTACCTCCACCTGCTGAAAAACTATTATCACCACTGGACGACCCCCTTCGTACTGTGCAATTTTGTTCCAAGAAATGTTTTTGTAAAACTTATAGTTTAGATAATATTTGAGGTGCTAATAGTTATTGCCCCATCTTGTATATTTCAATTTTGAATTGTAAAATATCCAAAATGGATGAAATGGTTCGACAAATAATGAGGACTCGATAAAAAAAAAAGGAACGAACGGAAGATCAGTGTTCGTGAAGTGAAGTGAAATCCCTATTGTGCGACATGAAAAGATGCTCGGTTTCATCCTAATTCGAGGTACCGCGGCGGGGGTTTGGGGGTGCAATTTGCGACGATCGTAAATTCGCGTCTGTCGCTTGTAACAATTCACTCACCGGCCGCCGAACACGCTGCGCGGCCCAGATCGGTTCGACTCGCTTGTAAATTTCACGTCAACTCGCTGTAAATCACCGGGTCCAGTTTCAAAAAGAACTAGCCCGCATCCGAAATGGAAACGGGTTGTAAAAATTTTATACAACCGCTCCGATCGTATTTGGTACACGTCGATTCTAGTTTCCTCCTTCGGATCAATCTAACACACGTAAAATATACTATAAAATAAATACTGCACTATAAAATGAAGCTATATTTATTTATCTATTTATTTAACAGAAACTGTAAATAATAAATATGAGTATTATTTAAATGCACTTAAGTATTGAATTTTTTTATTTATTAAATAATTATTTATTACATGGAACGATGTAATACGTGGATTAATTAAATGATTAAATTACGAGTGGGTGTGGATGATTGTTATTGATCCATCGTGAGACACAGGTAGTAAATACGTATATAATATACTTTGGTTGGATGCCAGGTCGGGTGAATCGGTCATGAAATTTCGCGACGCCCCGCGTATTTTCGCGACGGCCGGACGGGCTTTGCCAAAAGTCGAAGGACCCGAGCCCCGGATGAAATAGATGATAACTTGGCAAGGGCCGGTGACTCGTAAGTTTCAATATTTGCACCGCGGCGAGGAAACGCGGCGATATACAGCCGATGTGGTAGCATAAAATAGCCGGGAACTTTATTCGAACGTTCGGAAACGGGGGTGGAAAACATCGCTTGTTCAGACCGAAACAACAAGGATCCTTATTTCAAACAATGTACTTAAAATCTTCATAAATATTGCAATTGAGTAAATTGTGCAATTTTCTTAATTGCTTCATAAATGTTCGAGGACGTTATGTGAGTTTTTAAATAAAAACAATGAAGTATTGAAATGTTAATAGTTTCTGGATTTGACATCTGTCGTCGTCGTTGTTGTAGTTGTCGTCGTCGTTGTCGTAGTTGTCGTCGTCGTTGTCGTAGTTGTCGTCATTGTTGCTGCTGTTGTTGTCCTTGTTTTTGTCGTTGTCGTTGTTATTGTTGTTGTTATCGTTGTCGTTGTTATTGTCGTCGTTGTCGTAGTTATCGTCGTCGTTGTTGTTCTTGTCGCTGTTGTCGTTGTTGCTGCTGCTATTGTTGTTCTTGTCGCTGTTGTCGTTGTTGCTGCTGCTATTGTTGTTCTTGTCACTGTTGTCGTTGCTGTCGTCGTCGTCGTTGTTGCTGCTGATATTGTTGTTCTTGTCGCTGTTGTCGTTGTTGCTGCTGCTATTGTTGTTCTTGTCACTGTTGTCGTTGCTGTCATCGTCGTCATTGTTGCTGCTGTTGTTGTCCTTGTTTTTGTCGTCGTCGTTGTTGTTGTTGTTGTTATCGTCGTAGTTGTCGTCGTCGTCGTCGTAGTTGTCGTTGTCATCGTTGTAGTTATTGTTATTGTCGTTGTCGTTGTTGTAGTTGTCCTTATTGTCGTTGTAGTTATCGCTATTGCTATCGTTGTCAGCAACGTGTAACAAATAGAACTTTATTTTTACTGTTAAACTGTGAGCAGGTTTAATCCCCTGGAAACTAGATATGATTATTTGACAAACAGTAACCCTGTAGAAGCGTAGCGATCGATGGTTGATAACGGCCGCAAATGCCTTCCTTAGCCGGGCAAGGATACCAATGAAACTAATTAAAACGCATTAGCATCCGCGGGCGGGGAGCCTCCGCGCCGGATTTCAAGCCCACTTATCTCCGGTATTAACAGTTGATAACCGGGACGCGATTGTATTGGAGTTGAGCACGGCAAATTGACGAGCCCGAGCCCCGGTCCTAATCAAACCTCGAAATATGCTGGTACCAGCACGCCGCCGTCGGAGCGAATGTGCATCCAAGTTTGAAATTGTAAGACGCCACGTAATTCTACTATTATGCATATTACTCTAATCCAACTCCATCGCTCGTCTTTTCGTTCTATATGTTGCCATTTTTATGTAATAACTTTTATTTAACGACCACGTAAAAGTGACGACGACGATAATAACAACGACGACGACAACTACAGCGACAATAACGACAACAACTACAACGACAATAACGACAACTACAACAACGACAACCACAATAACGACAACTACAACGACGACAACTACAACAACGTCAACGACAATAACAACTAAAAACGACGACAACGACAACGATAGCGATAGCGATAACTACAACAACGATAACGACAATAACGACAACTACAACGATAGTGACAACAGCGACGACGACAACGATAACGAGAACAATAACTACAACAACGACAACGACAGCGACAATAACGACGACTACAACGATAGCGACAACAACAACTACAACAACGACAACGACAATGATAATGACATCGACGTCGACGACGATGACGACGACAACGATAACGACATCGACGACGACACCAACTATAACAACGACAACGACAGCGACAACGACGATAACAACAGCAACAACAATGCTTAATTTGAGTTTCCAATTATTCCTGAAATTGCGAACGTTTAAATAAATAATAATCGTACAATGAAAGTCACGTGTGTCCATTTACAGTTAATTAAATTCCATTTAAAATAATATCGAATAACCTAACCTAACCTAACCTGGGAAGCAGTAAAGTAAAACGACTAAACACGACATAAATATGAATCTCTTATTCAGCTAAGGAAAATTCGAAGGAGGGTTGGTATTGCTGAGTTAAACCGTGTTCGTCGGAGGGCGAATTCGAGACGAGTAAAGGGTGTTTGCTGAAGGCATCAGGGTACCTAATTACAAGACAAAGGAGCGAATGCTATAGATTAGCTTATTAGGAGAACGCTTGTCTCGTAATACTATTAATTCGTCCTGTGGCAACGCCTATCGCGTGTACTTCTCCTCTCCCTTGGATCGGAGACCTCGTAGGATCTCGTCTTCCAAAGGCTATCATCGGAGACCAGCTTTATAGTAATTTGATCGATAATCGAATTCCCTGGCCGGTTTTCAACCATTCGTACCGTTCTTATCCTCCAGTGTAATCGAAAACCAAACTGCCACCTTTTCATCATCTCGGCTTAATTATGGGGTCTACAATACATCACTGTGATAGGGGCAGGTCGATGTTCCTTTCTGCATAATTATTAGACTGCAGACTTTTGTGTAAAGTAAGACACTTTGTTAAAAGTAAATATTTGGAACAACGAATTTTTAGGAAAGATTATAGCAAGGTTTATGAAATTATTCAATGCTTTTTTCTAGTCTTAGAGGACTAATATTATTATTATACAACAACGACGACGACGACGACGACAACGACAACTGCGACAACCACAGCACCGACAATAACGACAATGACCACAACGACAGCAACGACAACGACAAAAACACGGACAACAATAGCAGCAACAAGAACAACAATGACGACGATAACAACTACGACGACAATTACGACGACGACGACGACGACAATTACGACAACCACAGCACCGACAATAAGGACAACAACTACGATAGCGACGACGATAACTACGACAACGACGACGACAACTACGACAACGATAATGACAACGACGAACGACAAAAACAAGGACAACAATAGCAGCAACAATGACGACAACTACGACAACGACGACAACAACTACGACAACGATAATGACAACGAGAACGACAACGACAAAGACGACAACAACGACAACAACAGCAGCAACAAGAACAACTACGACGACGACAACTACGACAACGGTAATGACAACTAGAACGACAACGACAGAGACAACAACAACGACAACAACAGCAGCAACAAGAGCAACAACGACGACGACAACATCTACAACAACCACAGCACCGACAATAACGATAATGACCACAACGACAACGAGAACGACAATGAGAACGACAATGAGAAAGACAACAACAACGACAACAACAGCAGCAACAAGAACAACAACCACAGCACCGACAATAACGACAATGACCATAACGACAATGACCACAACGACAACGACAACGACAATGAGAACGACAATGACAAAGACAACAACAACAACAAAGACAACAGCAGCAACAAGAACAAAAACGACGACGACGACGACGACAATTGCAATAACGACAACGACAATGACAACGACAGCGACAATGTTCTAAATTCGATTTCCCCAAGAAATCAGCAGTTTTGCTAAGGAACAATTTCTTAGCATAAAATTACGCCTCGATAGTGTTAATCCTGTAAGTCAACAATCGGAAACTGTATCAGTAGGAGTGTTATACCCCGGGACATTGTCTGTGAACGGGTGATCCGATCCAGGCACGTCCTCGTCCCGGTAGGACAGTAATTGTCGCTGGTTCTTGAAATACCCGCGTCAGATATTGCGTGTTCCAACAATAGGGGCACAATAGAGGAACCCGGGAAGGAAGGAAGGTGCGGGAGGGGGACGGGCCGTTTCGAGCCATAGAATGGTCCAAGGCGTCCCCATCTTCATCTATCCGTCTCTGTACATTTACGCCTGTAATTCTCTTTCTCTATTCCCACCGCGTCCCGATTAACGGCCGAGAGTTTCGGCTTCGTTATCCTGTCTGTCCCGCGTTTCTCTCTGTCTCCTGCGCCTGACGCTTGCCTCCCTTTGTTCTTACCGGAGGATGCCTGATGGCTTTTCCGCCTGATGAAACACGCGAAATTGAAAAATCCTTACGTCCTCCACTCCCACAGCCACCTACCTGATGTTCATATCCACGTTAACAACGTTCTTTTTTTT